TCAGTATTAATTATTTAATATATCAAATTTTACATTATTTTTTGATAAATTTTATAACGTTTAAGATAACTGAAAACAAGGTAGTAGTACATTACATCGAGTGTAATCACGTAACGATCTTAGCAAACAAGAAAGTGGCGGCTGTAATTAATGAAGAAGCGTTTTGATGTAAGTAATTTTATTATTGATGTTAATTAGAACTATAAAATCTTCTTATTTAAAATAATTGTTGTCACTGTTTCTGATGTCACATGCATTACTATGATTAATTTCGTAACTATGTAAAAATTTTTATTTAATTTTTTTATTTTATATGCTATAGATTGCACATTAAACAATTATTATAAAATATCAATTAAAATATTTTGTTATTTTGATAAATATATGCTTGTGAAATTTTATGTATTATATTAGTTCTATTTATTATTATTAGTACATTTGCATAAAATATACCATTGCCATATCCCTACTTAAACCTATTATATTTCAGAATGTGGCTAACGCAACCGTACACAGTAAGAAATAAAATGTTAATGCTTAATTAAATGCTCGAGCATTCCCTCTCACTTTCAAAAAGTGGTCGCTCAAGATGGCTGCCATGACGTACCGTCCGCGGATTTACCTAGTCCTGTGCCGGGATTCTGTAACTCTTTAACGACAAAAATCGTTATCGTTAACTATCGATATCGATGATAATCGCAAAAGGTTATTCTGTAACTAGTGGGTATCGACAATTCTCGATATTTGAATCGTTAAATTCCGAAAAGTATCGAAGCCGTGTCAATGTGATTTGATGTGATTGCGATCGATGCCGGAGGTCTCGCTAAGCCATTAACGATAGTTGATGTGAGTCGGTGATACGTTAGTGTGGAATGCATACATATATATGTAATACATGTGACAATAAAATGTTAGAAGTTATTGATAAAAACAGCTAATACGGATTGAAAGTAAGTGTAAATACTTCCATTCTTTAAGCCTTGAACTTTTATCTTTCATATATATACAGGGTGTTTCATTTTTGTTTAAAAGTAAAGATTTAAGTGACATATACAATATTCAGTTTTCAAAGTGAATAAAACAATAAAAAAAAACATAATCTCAATCTTAGATAAACAATGTAAAATAAAAATAGTATTGTAGTCGATTTAAACTGTTAATAGTTTCTCTGATAAAACAATTTTATAATTTTTTATTTTAGGATGGCTCTCGGCTATCTTACTTTAAATTTAATAATGATGGAAGATCATGTCCAACACCTTGAACGAAGAGTAGAGAGACAATTGTTGCGAACAACAGAAAATCCATTTGATTTGACAAATAATGAATTTAGGGAGTTGTACCGCTTAACACCGGACTTAATTTTTGATCTTGTCGATGCATTAGAACCTCGATTACAGCGGACAAGGATCACTGGTTTGGCTGTAGAAAAACAAATAATACAAATTACAATTTGTAACTGTATATACAATATTTTTGTTTTATTACATTTATTATACTTATCTTTTTCTTTATTTGAGTTTATGATATTCATATATATTTTATATGTTATAGGTATTATCGGCAGTAAGATTTTATGCAACTGGCTGCTTTCAACGTCCATAGGTGAACAGTGGGGCATTTCGATGAGCCAGACATCGATTAGCAGATGTATACACAAAGTAACAGATGCGATCAATGAATTAATATTTAGACAATGGGTACAATTTCCAATGACTCCAGGAGCCAGGTAATTAGCAAGAATGAAATTTCAAAATGCACGTCAACCGTTTAAAGGAGCTATCGGAGCGATTGACTGTACTCACATAGCGATCCTTGCTCCCAAAGAGCATGAAGAAGCCTACATTAATCATCATGGATATCATTCATTGAATGTGCAAATGGTAAATATTTAAATCATTGATTCATACAAAACGTGTTTTATATATTCCAATTAATGACATTCAATAACTTAATCTATTAGATATGTGACCCTAATTTAAAAATACTCAACGTTAATGCAAGATACCCTGGAGCACGACACGATGCATATATATGGAATGCTTCTGCTGCGCGACGAGTTATGGAACGCGCGTACAATCGTGGTGAACGACAAACATATCTTATTGGTATATAATCTTAACTTTTTATTAAAGATGTTTGTTGTACAAAGTTTTTATTTTGTCGATTTATTGTCGACATAATACTTTATACTCTACTGTTTATTCTAATGCATAAATTTTATGTTGTGTTGAATTTAAAATGTATTAAAAAATTTTTAACGGAGCTGAAATAAATCTAGAATATTTTATTTATACAGGTGATTCAGGTTATCCGTTAGAACCGTGGCTATTAACTCCTTTGCCACGAGAGCCGGAAGGAACTCCACGTTTTGCATATAACGAAGCATTATGTAGCGCAAGAAATTGTATTGAACGTCTCTTTGGTGTTTTGAAGTCTACCTGGAGATGTCTGTCTCGCCACAGATGGGCGTAGCGCCGGCGCTAAAAGAAGTGGAGAGAGAGTTAAGATGGCGAGCGAGCGTGTGCGTGGAGAAGGCGAGCTGAGTCAGTTGAGGAATGCACGCTATTTCAGCAATAAAAACGAACAATAGAGATTGATTCAAGTGCATATTTTACGTAATTCTCTACCTGCATCAAGCAGTAGAAACATTGGTCCTTCGAGCCAGATCGGGCGTGCTAATTAGTGCGGCGTGTGTCGAACCGGAAGTACGTAAAAAGGCTGCTAGTAAGGTTGTCGAAATAATCCAACCTAATTAGTCCACCGGAAGCAGATCCACGATCGCGTGGCTACGAGCAGCAGCACCGGAAGCAGATCCACGATCGCGTGGCAACGAGCAGCAGCACCGGAAGCAGATCCACGATCGCGTGGCAACGAGCAGCAGCACCGGAAGCAGATCCACGATCGCGTGGCAACAAGCAGCGGCAACCGGAAGCAGATCTACGACAACGTGGCAACAAACAGTGGTGGTACAAAGCGGATCCACAACGACATGACAACGAATAATACATCGAAAATTGAGCGTAGCAATACATTAAGCGACATATTGTAAGTCCGTTCCGTAAAATATAATTTCCGAGTGCAAAAAGGTTAGAATGGCTAAAGAATTAACAGCGCTCAAGCGTACGCGCGGTACATATAAGTTGCGTTTGACACATTTCGAGAACTTTATTGAAAGGTTTCGCAAAACCAACGATCCGATAGAATTACTTGAAGCGAGAATTGAGTTCGTGCGAAATGTTTGGCAGTCGTTGAAATACAAACAAAAATACAAACAAAACAAAAATACATACAAACAAAAATCGAAGAGCTAGACGAAACTGACGAGGAAAGAGTAATCTTAGACGAGCGATATTGTATGTTGATAGGTACAGCCCGAGCTCTAGTCAATTCGAGGCAAAGGCAAGCGCGACAAGGTAACCCGCAAGTTCAGGGTGATAACGGCGATGCTGTCCTTAACGCAGGCGGTGTTCAAGTACAAGAACGCAAAGTAAGATTGCCAACCATGAGTCTCCCAGTGTTCGACGGAAATCCCGAACAATGGTGGCAATTTAGAGACAGTTTTACAGGACACATTGAAACGAATGCTGAACTGTCGGATATCCAAAGAATGTATTATCTGCGTTCAGCCCTCAAGGGACGGGCAGCTGAGGTCATCCACTCTTTGGAAACTTCGGCGGCTAATTACGCAATTGCATGGACACTTTTGAAAAAAAGGTTTGAGGATAAGATAGCGATTGCGAGTCGTCACTTACAGTTGTTATTAGACATTCCAGTAATGCAAAGGGAATCAGGCGGGCAATTAAGGCAGACATTAGACAGTATGTTGCGACATCTCCGAGCTCTTGAACAGCTCCAAGCGAATACATGGAATGCGACAATGATTCATATTTTAAGTTCAAAATTAGATAACTTGACGAGACGCGAATGGAAGTCTTACGCAAAATCACAAGAAAGTCTAGCAGTGAGCTCTCTGACAGAGTTCTTAGAGGATCGATGTTTGATCCTAGAACCAGAAAGTGTAAAGTCAGACACAAGCAAGACGCAAGCAGCAATGCGATCAGACAAGCGAATGCAGCATCAAACAAAAAGGGCGGAACAATCAAGTTCATTTGCGGCTACAGGCAGTGAAAAACAAACTCTTCGTAAATGCGCATATTATCAAGAGGAATCGCACGCGGTTTATTCGTGTCCAAAGTTCCAGGCATTAGAAATTTCAAATAGGCAGCTTATCGTTGAGGAGCGCAAACTGTGTCGGAATTGTTTAAAAGGTAATCATATCGCAGCAAGTTGTACCTCCGGTCATTATAAAAAATGCGAAGCGAAACACAATACGTTATTGCACCCCGAAGCGCAAACGATAGAAGCAAGCAAGCAGGTAATTAACAGCGACAATGCGAGCGCAGATAAGAATGTGACTTTAACATCAACTCTCAATAATAATCAAATATCGTCTTCGCGAGTTTTTTTGTCAACAGCGCAGGTTTGAATTCGCAATCATGAAAGCAGACGCATAGAATGTAGGTTACTATTAGATTCGGGTTCACAGTTCAATTTTATGTCCAGAGAACTTTGTAAACGATTAAAATTGCGCACACGGCAACAGCAGTGTTCGGTCAAAGGATTAGGTCCGTCGATTGATCTGAATGAATTTGTTGAAGCGATCATTGAATCCAAGCATACAGCATATCGCACCAAACTACAGTTTCTCATCACGGAAAATATCATCGAGAGGCTACCCTTAACAGCCTTTGAAATGGATCATATCAGAATCCCGTCGCATCTGCGTCTGGCAGACAATGAGTTTCACATCCCAGCCAGAGTAGATGCTCTGTTAGGAGCAAGCATTTTCTGGGAACTTCTCTGCATCGGGCAGATTAAGTTGAGCAAAGGCCAATTTTGCAGAAAACGCACCTGGGATGGATTGTTGCGGGAGGCATCTCAGATATCAAGCAAACCACCTTATTGAGCTGCATGGCATCTGACAATACATTGCACGAACAGGTGCAGCGATTTTGGAACATCGAAGAGATTGAACAAAACTTATTGCCATCAAAGAACGACGAGTATTGCGAGGCTGATTTTGTAAAGAACTGTCAACGGGATTCATGCGGTAGATTCACAGTCAATCTTCCATTCAAAGGTGACCCAAATGAGTTAGGCGAATCCCGTGAGCATGCACTGAAACGGTTTCATAAACTGGAGAAACGACTGGAGTCGCAACCGGACATCAAGGAACTATATGTAAGGTTCATGCAAGAGTATCTCGAGCTAGGTCACATGAGTCAGATATCAAGTATCAAGGAAACAGCCTCAAAGAAATATTACATCCCGCATCATGCGGTAGTAACCAACATTAACGATCGAATCAAGCTCCGTGTCGTTTTTGACGCATCGGCACGTACGACTTCCGGAATAGCGCTCAATGATCTTTTACGAGTAGGACCCACAATTCAGCCTACTCTATTGGCAACAGTTGTACGATTCCGACAATATCAATTTGTTATGACGGCGGATATCGTTAAAATGTACCGTCAGGTCAATATCCAAGAAGATCAACGAGATTTACAACGAATCATTTGGAGAGCAGACATCAATCAACCAATACAAGAGTACCGACTGAATACGGTTACCTACGGACTAGCCTTGGCTCCATTTTTAGCAATTCGAGCGTTGCAGCAAACGGGTCAAGATGCTCAACAAGATCATCCTGTAGCGAGTCAGGTCATTTGTCGTGACTTTTATGTGAACGATTTACTCACCGACAGTGACAATTTGACCAAACTTCAAGCACTAAAACAAGAAATTATCGAGATATTGAGATCAGCGGGTTTCAAGTTGGCAAAATAAAACTCGAACGAACCGTCACTCATTGCACAACCAACCGACAATACCGCACAAGTCTTCAACATCGGGGAAGAGATGAAAACTACTCGGTCTTACGTGGAATTCAGCGACAGACACATTCCAATATCGCGTTGTGGCTCGAAACAACGAAGGTCGAATTACTAAACGTACGATATTATCGATCGTGTCACAAATTTTCGACCCATTAGGACTCATCGGGCCATCAACAATCAAGGCAAAAATAATGCTGCAGCAAATGTGGCAACTCAAGCTCAGTTGGGATGAGTCATTGCCAAGTGACTTACACACAGAATGGACTGGATACGTTGAGCATCTTAAGTCCATAAATGATATTCGTATTCCACGCATCATTGTATGCCACAACCCAGCACGCATTGATCTTCATGGTTTCTCAGATGCCTTAGAGAGTGCTTACAAAGCTTGTGTCTATTTACGTTCCGTCGACCAACAGGGTAACGTGACCATTCGATTGTTGTGCGCCAAATCAAGGGTCGCACCGTTGCAAACTGTCTGCGTGCCCCGACTGGAACTGTGCGGAGCCCTACTCCTAGCAAAATTAGTTCACCAGGTAATCGGAATACTGTCATTACCAATTCACACCTGCTATTATTGGTGTGACTCAACAATCGTGCTCGCGTGGATACACGGCGAACCATATCTCAGAAAGGCTTTTGTGGCCAATCGAATCACCGAAATTCAGCAGCTATCAGCAAAGGAAGCCTGGCATCATGTCAACTCAGACGACAACCCAGCCGATGTCATATCGCGAGGAGTAAATCCACATCAATTAAGCCAGCTACGTCTCTGGTGGGAGGGACCAGAGTGGTTACACGAGCCTGCAGAGCACCTCAGCAGAGATGTACCATCGGTAATCGGTGAAATCCCTGAGAGCAAGGCTAACATATATATATATATAGCAACATTCACTCAAACAAGACATGTTGACGATCTCCTAGAGAGATTCTCGTCACTTTCAAGAGCAAACCGAGTTCTCGCATATTGTTTGCGGTGGAAAGAACCTCGAAGGGATACAACGTCTCAATACGTACGCGCCTCAAGTGTCCAAGAGCTAGAAAGAGCAATGAGCATCATTATCCGAACAGTACAAGCGTGCTACTTCCTAAGGGAAATCGACGAATTAACGCATAAGAAGCAGGTTCATCATGATAGTCCATTACTAACCTTGTTACTAACCTTGTGCAGCCCGCAAGCTGCATCGTTACGGCTACGGACCGTCCATTACGGACCCCACCAAGGGCGCATCGACCGCCGATAAACTTCTTATCAAAACAACGGCGGTCAATCGCCGAAAACCCCCCACACCCGACCGTTCCAAAATTTTCGTTTTGTGGGGGACTCGCCGCCGAAACCGCCGATGCTTGCCGATTCGAAGCCATTCGGCTGCCAGCCGGGTATAAAAGAGGCCCGGCTGTACGTCTTCTCACCAGATCCTGTTCGCTGCTAGTCAGCGAACAATCCTGCTGCGAGCGTTCTCGTAGTCCGCCGAGAGTACTCGGATTCTATGCCTTATTCCAGGTACACGAGCGTTCTCGATACCGTTTCTATCTCCGATACGAGCGTTCTCGTATACCCGTCGAGCGTACTCGGCTCCTCCGGGCATCGATTTTCGTATACAGGGCATTCCCTTATACTTAGTCGAGTCGCCGCTTTAAATCCGCCTTCGTACGAGCGTTCTCGTACGTCCGCCGACCAGTTTCGGCCTCAAAGCCTCTAGTGCGAGCGTCCTCGTACTCCCGTCAAGCATACTCGACGTCCTGTTCCTAATTTCGCGTTACCGCGCACCGGGATTCATCCGCAGAATCCATCCAGCGGGCAAACTACGTCGACCAATCCGCGCCGTCGAACGACCCGTCACGATCTACGATCGAACGGACTCGCGATACCGTCACGAACGCACTCACCGACGAGCGTTGCGTTGTACCAACCGTTGCGACACGATCGCCCGCGCTTGCGCTCTCTCCGATCGCACCGAGACGCCTCACGTCAAACTTTAATAATTCGTTCTCCGTTACTTTAAATAATTATCTTATCGTTTGCTTTAAATAATTATTTCACCGTCGCCTTCATATTTATTTCACCGTCGCTCTTTTATTTATTTCACGCCGCTTTACATAACTATTTCGCCGTCCGTTTAAATAATTGTCTCACTGTTGCCGATACTTCGGATTTATCTCACGCCGCTTTAAATAATTATTTCTCACCGTTCGCTCAAATAATTATTTCACTATTGCCGATACTTCATCTCTATTTCACGCTGCTTTGTATTTATTTCACGCCGCTTTAATAACTCTTTCGCTATCGCTCAATAATTGTTACACTGTCGCTTATACCAATCTCACCGATACTTTTACGATTATTCCACGCCGCTTTAACTAATTATATCACCGTTGTCATTATACCGATTGCACCGATACTTTTCTATTTTCCACTACTTGTATACTCTTTCGAATTCACTTCACACACGCTTCGCATGTACACACGAATATTGAAGCAGATCATTTGAAGCAAGTCATTTCAACATCTTACTTAATAAACGTTGTTTCTTTACTTTGTTATAAACGAGCATTTGTTTTATTTGACATACCCCCAACCGACCAAACCTGGATTCCGGCGAGCTACTCCGCGTCCGCCGAAGCTCACACGGTTTCAACCTTACATCCGTTTTTGGACAACGAAAGAATCATACGAGTGGGAGGACGACTGGCTAATGCACAAATCGCATATGCGCGTCAACATCCTATTGTTTTACCGTCAAATCATCACGTCACTCATCTAATCATCCGATCAGAGCATTTAAAAAATTTGCTTCTAAAACAACAAGCGTTACTCGCGACATTGCAAGGCACATTCTGAATTTTGTCTGCAAGATCCACGATTCGAAAAATATTGCACAAATGCATTATCTGTTTCCGAGCACAACCTCCAAAAACCCAACACATTATGGGCAATCTACCTAGAGAGACTATCGAGTAACATCCGCACGCTCATTTGTAAACGTAGGAGTCGACTATGGAGGTCCGTTTCATTTAAAACTTAGTCGAAACAAAACCTGCAAGGCATACGTATGCGTATTTGTGTGTATGTCCACCAAGGCTATTCACATCGAATTAGTCTCCGATTTGAGCACACCGGCGTTTCTTAACGCGCTCAAGCGCTTCATTGCTTGTCGCGGCTTGTGTGTAAACATATACTCGGATAACGGCACCAATTTCAAGGGGGCTCAGAATGAGTTGCACGCATTCTGTGAACTCCTTACATCAGCGTCACATCAAGAAGCCGTCGAACAACATTGCTCAGGACGTGCAATTCAGTGGCATTTCATACCACCTTATTCACCACACTTGGGTGGTATCTGGGAGGCCGGCATAAAATCGGTAAAAACGCATCTCAAGAAAATACTCGGTGAAGCTCTATTAAGTTTTGAAGAAATGTATACGGTTCTCACGCAGATTGAAGCGGTCTTGAACTCACGACCATTAACTCCAATATCAAGTGATCCTACAGATCTCAGAGCGTTGACTCCGGGTCATTTTTTGATCGGAGAAGCACTAAACGCGATTCCTTAGCGTTTCATCGATATTCCTTCTAATCGACTTACTCGATTCCAATACCTGACAAATCCAATCCTGACTGGTCCAATCATTCTGGCCACGTTGGTCCAAGGAGTACTTGTCGACTCTTCAACAACGATTCAAATGGAATCACGAGGATCTGGTATTTCCAGTCAAGATTGGAACATTGGTGATTTTACGGGACGACCAAACTTCTTCGATGCAATGGAAGCTGGGAAGAATCATCGAATGCCACCCTGGTACGGATTAAATCACTCGGGTCGTTAGCGTTAAAACTACCAAAGGCGTGATTCAACGCACCATAGCAAAGATCTGTATCCTACCATTGGAAACGTAGTTAAGGATATTTATACTCACAGGATAACCATAGCATGTAAGTTTACCATTTCATTTATTTGCGTTTAATTAGATAATAAGTCAAAGGCTTGCAGCAATGTTTAGTTGAAAGCCTAGCCTTTCAAGGCGGGCGAGATGTAAGCACTGTGTGCAGCGGACAAGCGAGCGTATGACGAGCGGCGCAGATGGGCGTAGCGCCGGCGCTAAAAGAAGTGGAGAGAGAGTTAAGATGGCGAGTGAGCGTGTGCGTGGAGAAGGCGAGCTGAGTCAGTTGAGGAATGTACGCTATCTCAGCAATAAAAACGAACAATAGAGATTGATTCAAGTGCATATTTTACGTAATTCTCTATCTGTATCAAGCAGTAGAAACAATGAAGCTAAATTTATTTTTTCCGAATCACTAAAAACTGTGGGCAAAACTTTCCATTCAAATGCTAATTTAGTTACATCAATATTTTCTACACGCGTGGCAATATAAGATAAATCTTTAATTATTAATCTACCTTCATTATAAAGTGCAACTTTGGCTTCTAAAAAATTTAACTGTTCAAATAAGACATCTTTGTACGGTAAACGTTTTAACATTTCGTTAAGCGCTATTTTATAGAAATTTAAGCAATTTAATCTAATTTGTTGCGCGAATTCAAAAGATCGCGATGCTAAAAAGCCTTCACATTCTGGTCCCACATATATATTTGTCAATTGTTGGATATTATGTTCATCGTCATTAAAAGTAGTAATGTCTTTCAAAGCCTCAGAGATCATAAAATTTTGACCTATTTGACGAATTAATTGCTGATTGTTAATAAATAATTTATGAATTAATATTTTACGTGACTGAAACAGTGCATTAAAATAATTGAAAAAATTCAATGAATATTTTAAAAATAACAAATAGGCCTTAATCGAATCATCATTTAATTGCGTTAAAATAATTTCTGCCGATTGTAAATTATCTTCGACTACAGCTAGCATAAAATAATTTCTTAAAACCTCCTAGTTATCCAGAAGTCTTGTAACACATTTATGTAATATAAGTCATCGCGTGTTGGACAATTTAAGTATTTTATTTCTTTCAACATTAAAAAAATCTTGAAATTCGCTTAATATTGCGCATCTCTTTGCACTGCCCGAAACATAAGTAGCAACTCCTCTAATTAAATTTTCGCAACATTGCGGTAATTTTGCACAGGCTTACAGCCTTACTAGCAATAATCGCGGATGTGTGACATATACAATTTAATAAAACTACATTAGGTATTTCAGATTTTAAACGCGAGAAAAAGGAGTTATTGCGTCCTGTCATTACTGATGCATTGTCGCTTGCCATACCAACAATATTTTTTAATGGAATTTCTTTATTTTCTAAAAACGTTTTAAAAGTTTTGAAAATGTTATTCGCAGTACAATCTGTGCCATCTAATGATAATAATTCTAATAGCTGCGTTTTTACTTTTTTATTTAAGAGCGAAAAATATTGAACAAGTACACACATTAGTTTCGTATCAGAAATATCTGTACTTTCGTCGATCAAAATAGAAAATTTACGCATTTGCAAAATTTAAACAATTTTTTCAACTTCGCGTTTGGCAAGGACTTCTTTTACGATATTAATGCACTTAGTTCGACCCAGTGAAAGATCTTGTACAATTTCAGGCTCAATACAAACATCTTTTAATAAAGGAATTAAATGATCAACTGTATTAAAAGCGACATTATGCTCCGCAAAAAATGCTGCTAATTTTATCTCCGCGCATTTTACTTTATCTTTATGGCAAATTTTTACGGGTGTTACTACATTTGATTTGAGGCTTTAACTTTGACGATTGACTTTTTCAATATGTGAAACCGTCTGTGAATGTTGCACTAAGTTTGTTTTGCAACATCTGATGGTCTTGTTACATACAATACAAAAAACCTTGTTTTTTTCTGAATGGGGGCCAACCATCCTTTAAAAATATCCTCCTTTAACCAAGCAAAAATAAAAATTTTTTCCCGTTTTTTAATGGCTCCTTTTCCACTATCTACATCCATATTGCACAAATTATTGCACAAAAATAATATTATAACTTACCTGTTTATTGCAATACACGTCTCAATTAATTTTAACGATGCTAACCTACACTGGTCACTGATGTCAGGCTGCAGACGGGGCTAATACTGATGTCTACCCGCCAAAACTTTGACGCTCTTTACGTTGCGCATGTGTGTACAAGATCTATAGAGAGAAGGTTACCTCACGCGCAAAGAGGGACGCGCGGCAAGAGGGGCACATGCTGAGCGGAGTGAGCGGCAAGAGGGGCAATGATGATCTCATCGGCGAACAGTAGCTGTCTCTCTCGCACGCTTTAGTCGTTTTCTCTCTCGCTCCTTTAATATAGAAATGCTTTGAGTTTTTATCGAAAAAACTTTTATTTTGTAAAATATTGATAGCACTGGAAATTGCGTAATAAAAATTGAAAAGTAAATTAGAAAGGCGCTATAAATTACATATATTGCAAATTATAGCGCTAGATATTTAACGTTTATAATGTTAAATATCGCTGCAACAGATGCATTTGTGATACAAATTGCTTTGTACTCGTATTTAGACTGTAATATCAATGAAAATAAAATATAACTTGGGGATATACACAAAAAACATTATTTGTAAAGTAGTAAAATAAAAGAAAAAATAGTACATATTTAAAATTTATTTTTAAAATAATATTTACTGTTTATATGCATTATTTACAAAAAAATACTATAAAAAATTTATTTTATATTAATTGT